TCATTCATATCAACTACAACAGTTAAATATAAATATGTAAGGCAATCTATATGTTAACGTGCAATGAAAGTGGAATGAAATTGTGATTAGCGATGAGCAATATCCATATCATGGAGCACAGCACTGATAACCACCTAGGAAGAGAGGCAACACCAATCACTGCGGAGTAGGGTAATGAAGCCGCTGGATGATAGTGTCGGATAACTCCAGCGAATGTGAATGTTAACTGATCTCGTTAACGGAGTAAGTACCAATTCAGTCGATGATGCAGTGCAGCGAGGCTAATCCGTGAAGACATTTCAAACATCGGCCTTAAATAGTGGCAACTGGCTTGTAAAAGCTAGCGCAACGTGCAAGTCTAAAAGTTCAGCTAGTCGGCCACTGAAAGCATTTCAGAACTTCGGCGAAGGTTTAACCATCACTAACCGTAGAAATCAACTGCGACACGCTGTAGCTCGCTTGAGCGGAACGCTAGCATAGTATGATGCATCGAAACAGCTGGCGTTGTGATCGGTAAAGGCTTTTGCCCAACCGTTTTGCAGGGTCGTAACACTTCTCAATCGCTGTCGCAATTGCGGAGACACCGCGTGACCGGTGGCAAGGACGGTGAATTCCGCGTGGTCGACGGCATCAACCAATGGCGTTTGTGCACGCGACGACGTCGCTTCGTTCTGACCGCTTCGTACTGCATTCGATTGCCGTGAATTAGAGCCATGTTTTCACTTAGTCGGAGGCGGTATATCTCTTTACCAACTTTCATCGTCAGCTACTTCCTAAAATTCACATAGTTAATACCTCACCTTTATCCGACCAATCGGGACTTAGTCTCCTGAAGCATTTTTGATCCATTTAAACATGGATAAAATAAATTATGACATATCATGAATCATATAGAGAGACTTAGAATTACTAAATCACAACGATTCGGTAATTCATAACATTTTCGAAATTTGAGAAACATCAATAGTATGGTTATATATAATAGCTACAGTGGAACTACATATGATGTTACTACGTTTTATTATTGTTATACCTATTATATTCATTTCTCAGAGAAATGAATAAATAGAATAATATTGTGTTATTATGTTTTATTTACAATAATCGTAGTGGACTTTAAGTCTATGTCTATTCTACCGTGACATTTATTAGTTGACTAATATTTAGCTCACGCACCTGCGCGCCAAGTTTATTGTTATATTTTATTCTTTTGTTGTTAGATTGAATCTACTTGTTTGTTATTTAAATTTACCTGTTTATTTTAATTGTAAATGCATAAATTATTAAATTAAATGATCGAATGATCAAAGACTACTATATGATAAATTATGAAGGAATTTATAATATTAACATATAGTAACCTACTACAGTTCTATCAGAATCTACAATGTAAAAATGGCCATTTATTTTTGATACAATTTTTCTTTAAGTTTATATTGTTGTTATTTAAAATGAATTATATTATATTTACAAGTTTATTATATTTTTAATTAATTAATTAAATTTAAATTAATTATTACTTATTTATCATAAATTAATTAAATTTAAAATTATTATTTATCATAAATAAAAATAGTAGTGCTGTAACGGACTATAGGGACTTTTAAGTATACCGCTTAAATGTAGACTCAATGGGACTTATTTTGTCCCACTTCAAAAATATATTAAAACCTGATTTGAAATTTTATAACTTTTAATTCATCAAAATAAAACCAGTAATTGTGTAAAAATTAAATACATTACATTTTGGTTGGCTTACTAAGGATTAAAATCGAGAGAGATGAGAGATGAGGATGAGGTACGAATGCATTGGTTACTGGCGTTTGGGCTCCGTTGACATTAATACTGCCGTTGATCAGCGTGATCGGTGTATCGGCAAGCGCGGCATCAACGCCTTTGTCTACTGAATATTGTCGAAGCCGATGAACCTAGTGTTTACTGGTCCTGTAAAGCCGTTTTAATGCGGATATTCAAACGTTCCAATGAGAAAACGTTCGACAAGTCCTCAGACGCTGTGGGACGGTAGATAATAAAGCCCGACGAAAAGCTTGTGACATTGAACGCCGCGCGGTTGGTGACGGCAGGAGGTCATAGGTGGCGTGGCTGGTCGGGGCAGTCCGCGGATGGTGCCGCTGCGCGATACATGCGTGCCGTATGGTGGACGCGACCGCTGTGGACGTCCCGGCGCATCTTAAACGGACACGGACCACTCGTCTGCGTTCGGTGGCTGCCGTCACCAAAAACTGGCCGGCGCACTACGAACGGTATAATCGATCGGACGGCACGCTGGCTCCCTGATGTTGCCACCCATCCGGCAGCTTTGAAAAATCTCGCTGACGTGGCCGGCCCAGACCACTAGGTTCGCGGAAAATTGCCCCGCCCTGAGTTTGAGGTCCTGCAAAACGTTTTCCGATTGTTATACGTAGGAGGTTGTGAGAAGCGTCGTCATTCCGGCTCGAGCACAACATGTCGGGCTCGGCGGTTCAACACTCGCCCTATCGCACTGTCGTCTTCTCTCTTCTGTTTGACCATACCTTTATTTATCAGATGTAGATATGACGCGATTGATTCGACACCGTTGACCAGCGTTCATCTGGCTCGTATTCACTCGCAACAAATTCCATCGGTCCTTCTAATCGGATTGCTTCTTCGGACGTTTGTTCTGTTTACTGCGCTAACCTCGGTTAACAGCCGCCAAATACGTTCAAGCTTCTTCAGGTTCTTCATTTATTTTTCAGCGTACGAGAGTCTCGCAAATGTCAACAAATAGAGTTGATTAACGACTGAATAAACTGTTAGAATATTCGTTTATACGGGTAATTCTGTTGATTGTTAGCTTTAGTAATTTATTCTTCGTTGTACGCAACTAAAAGGAAATAACCGCCTCTTATTTTATTTAACAAAACTCAAAAAAACTATGTTGCATACGTCTACACATATCGCAGTGTGGCGGAGAACTGACTACGGCCGACGGGCGACGACAGTAAAACATATAATAATAATTATTGACAAATATATATAAATAGCAAATTATTACCCGTCGTCGGGTCGCCTCACACACACACGCCGTACACAATATAAAATTATATAATATAAAAGTGGATGTGGGGTCGCTCGGTCGTCAATGCGATAAGCCCGCGACGATTACCGAATAGCGTCCCACAGCCATGTATAGAAAATAATTAAATAATTAAATAATATAAATCATACACGTTACTAGCCAGCGATCTCTTTCGAATTTAAAACGATATAGCCTTCTTTACACATATAGTACAGCAAAGCAGTATCCACTTACTTTCCACCATCATCTTTTATTATTTTAATATCATAGTATAATATACCAAATTAATGACGCCAGTAAAAATATAAAAGTATAATGTGTAATTTTTTTATTTTATTTTTTCATTTGGCGGAAAAGTGAATCGACGGAAAAGGGAAAGGTACACTTTTGACGGAAACGGGTAACTACCGTATTTGACTTGTATGTGCGCGAGCGGTTGCATTCCGCTATTTCAGTCCCATATTTCCATATTTACACAACCTGCACACACGAAATTAAATATAAATTATCTATATTCAACTCCTTAAAAACGGTTGGTGTTGAATTCAAGTAATATTATTTTAATCTAATTTTTTACTTATGATGTAATTTTATTATTACAGTAATTGTAATATTCATGTAACTTTAATCTAGTTAATTACAATTCTCATTATTCAATTTTAAATTTGACTGACATAATTCATATTGAGATAATATTATATTATATTTATTATTATTATAATAAAATACTGTAAATCTTCTATTAAAATAGTTCACGAAGGGAAAAAATATTGAATTCACCGTCGATTTTCTGATTTGTTATTAAATACAAAAAATGGCAAAAACAACAGACAAATATTAAAATTATAATATCAAGGTGTTTTATATCTGTTTCAAGTTTAACTTTGGCTAACTGTATACGAATTTAATAGTATTTTTTAGCATACAAGATCACAACATAAAATAATCAATTTTTTTCATAGTAGTCCATATCGTGAACTTTTTTTTGCTTAAAATTATGTTTTTCATTTCATTTGTATTTTAATGGATCAATAGTTGTTATTTAAACTGTGAATCGTTAGATGATCGATGGAATTTAAAAGCTATAGAAGAATTATTAAAAAGTCAAACATTACTTACCAGTTATCAATTAAATCATAAAAATCAATAGAGATCAGAACAACGCTCGCGTCCACACAGACATCATTTATACTTTTTTTATTCGATAACTTTACTCTGTACAAACTATTATAAATTATTTTTACAATTTTTAAAACGTTCATAGCATGTTCCGCGATTAAAATACGAACAAAAGTGTTCTGGAGATGCGCCCTAGAATATAATCCATTGAGTATATTATAATATTATGATGTAAATATTAATTTTGTCAAATATTTGTATTTGTTTATTATTCACAATATACAATCAACGATATAATCTCATCTTTAAATAGTTTACATTTTTTTGTATGGGTCAAATCACTCAAATTTTAAAAATAACAGAGTGAAATGGATCATTGCGAACGTAAAATTTGCCATCTCGTACGTTTGTGGGACGTAATATATTCAATTGACAAATTTATATTAAATAGTTAAGAATTTGTATTAAAAATTAGAAAATAACCAGTTATACATTCTGTTTTTCTCCTATCAAATAAACCGGAGTGAATATTTTTCTTTAAAGTAATCGGCAAGTGGTTGAAAAAAATTGAACCCAGATAGTCGACAAAAGACAATATATTATATTGATAACAAATGATGAAACAAATAATAAGTATCATATTACAGCGGGTAACATATTATCTATCGCTATGAATAGTATGAGAGCTCTGTTATAAAACGATTTATATATTTAAAAAAAATATTATCGTTGCGACATCGTTGAACGGCGCACGCGCTGCAACGGCGGCAGTATACCGCTGCGGGAGCAACGTTCAACGGGCGCAGTACTGCTGCGGCGCGTCTCATCAGTCATTGTCGCGCGCAGTACAGTTTGGACAGAACGTAGCGCTTGGTGATGATCGACACGACGGTGGCGTTCAGCAGCAGGAACGCGATGGCCGAGACGGCCGTGGCCATCGGCGGTGGCCGCGACGCGCCGTCCCGCCCGCGCCCGCCGGCTCGGGACAAAACGAACGCGTTGAAGAACCCGGAGGAACCGCCGTTGCCGCCGCCGGCCACGCCGGACCAGGCGCCGTACGTGACGATCAGGCCGTAGGCGACCACGGCGGCCGCAGGCCTCACGGACGCGCTCAGCGCCCGGGCCACGTGCGACACCCGTCTCTCGTACAACACCAGCTGGAACGTGCGGAACAGCCCCATGGCCACGGTGACGGACGCCAGGGCGGCCACGTGTTCGTGGGCCTGGCACATGTACGTCATGCTGCTCACGACCGCCGTCTCCCGGGCTGACGCGTACCGCTCGTGCGCCAGCTCCATCAGCTTCCAGCGGCCGGTCACCGCGAACATCGCGCACATGACCACCGCCAGCACCACGCACTCGTACGCCGCGCACAGCAGCCTGTACGCGCCGCCGCCGTGGTCGTACATGGCGGACACCATGTGTTTCAGCGACACCATCAGTCGCACGGCCATAAACGCGTACGCGAACATGAACACCAGCGTGAACACGTACGTGTTCCACGTGACGATCGCCGAACTCGAAGGCACCGTCCAAACCTACACGGTAATAATAATAATAATAATTATAATAATAATAATATTCGGTACACGGCGATAAGAATTATTATATTGTCGCAATACTGAATCTTTGTATTTTTTATGTATAAAAATTAATGTTTGTTCGTTTGTCTCGTGTACAGACCCGAAACTGGAAACTGAGGTGCAGAGCTGCAGATCTGGGAAAATTCGCGGGTAATACGGCTAGTAAATTATAAAATAATAGATGAAATCTACAATGCGGCATACTGGTGTGCTTCCGATATTAAACTAAGTAATGCATTTTGTGCCATACCTATTCGATGAATAACAAACGAGAGTTTGTACGCTTTTGTTACCAATATCGAAGAATCGGTTCATTTCTTTTAGTTATTTTTTAAACTGCCTCTGTTGTCTCCACATCTTAAGAAAAAAAGTTTGGAAAAAGTTCTAGAGTTTAAGGATATGAGTGACGATATTCAATCCAATGAAAATGTAGTCCTAGTAAATGCGTGCAGTGCGAGCTTCGGTGTTAAGTCTTAAAAATGGCCAGCACTACGGGTCAGCATTTTCTCTTCGATAGCTTTTAATATTTTTCCACAGTGTTTTGAGGGTAAATATTAAATTAAGAAGCCTACTGTAAGATTTATATGACACTTCGGAAAAAATAACGATTAAAAATCGACAAAGGGGAAATTCTAACCTGTGTACCTACCTACCTTACTGCAATGTTAGGATCTCATTTTCTTTGGGTGGAATATCGCCAGCCATCTTATACAATCAAGATCTAGTAGTCAGTGACTGTATAATATTTTCACTAAGTTCGAAAAGTTTTTAGGTGATAAACAACATTTTCCTATTTATGTTTTCTTGAGGTAGTTGAAAAACTACTAAATAGTAAAGGATGTAATGTGTGAGTTATTAAACTGGTAATTATGTAGAAAAGAACTACAGAGGTAATTGTTGTATATAGGTAATCTATGAATTTCATGAAAATACAGAGATATAGTTATTAATGTCGAGACCTCTATAACATACCTAAAATAAGCAACTCTATTATTTTTTACGTAAATAACTATTCATAATCACAGTATTTAACAAAAAATAGTATACTAAAATATTTGAGCTATGTGTTAACGTACTTCACTATGTATTGTGTATAATAGTCCTGATAAAGTTTGAAATTTTATTTTGAACACTGTAATGCAATCTATGCCGGGTGTGTACGTATGAAATTCTATTACTAGACTTCTTGTTCTATTATCCAACCATCCATTTTCTAAGTGAGTATTTATTTTTTGTTTATACTCTGATAGCTGTCCAGTTAGATCTAATATAAATCCAGAGTTTTTTGTATCAGGAAACCCTAAAATATTCAAGTAGATTTTTTTAAATTTCAGTACACTATTTATTTTATAAGTGAATATACTTATAGATAATTAATTAGTTATTCATACATAGTCCAAAATATTTGATTACGGGTACAGATCTATATATCCAAGCAGTAGCTTTTTCAATATCGGTAATTTTTATCCATCCTTCTTCATAACTCCCTGTGTCAGTTTCCCATCTCAAGTTTTTTTTCTGTTATTCTATTTTGTTTTATTCTGATCCCACCGTTTACTAATTTACTGTTGTAAAAACTACACCAACCTCTTTCATTATCTATTAAAGAAAAACAATTATAATACAATGTAAATAAGATTTAAGTATTTAGAAATAGCTAATATATAAGTTTGATAGCTCAGTTAATTTGTTATTATTGAACATTTAATATTAGAATGTTGCATGTATAATGTATTTATATATTATATTCACAATTTTTTTTTAAAAATTGTATTTGTGAAATGTGTATTTATACTTTCGCTTAGATATGAGATGGATTTATTGACTATTGGTATTCCATTATAGTACTCTCTAATATGAAAAGGATTTAAAAACGATCCAGTTAAAAACGTCTTCATCCTAAAATTAAATTACAATTACATTATTCATTTAAACATATTCCTCTATTAAGTTATTTCTATTTTATATTACATTTCCAAATTCATCATATTTGTTTGTAATATGCTTTTGAGAAATAGCTTGTTAATATTATTGGCATGCACAATATGTTTAGGATTTCTAAACGAATATAAAGCGCTAATACAAAATAATGATATTGATATTAATAGGAGACATGTAGTAACATTTTCTTGAAAACTTGCTTGTCGCAATTTATCTTTATATTTAGCTTGTAAAATCTATAAGAAATAAGAACATATTTTTCTTATTATTTATTATGATTGTTATAATTAATTTTAGATTATTAAATAAATAATATTTGGCATATTATTCATATTTTATATAATTAGTACGTATATCTTACCTATACCTACTACAATATAACTAAGGTAAATATATCTATTAGATAAAACGTAGAACGATTCAAAATTATTATAGCTTGGTAGTTACTTGAGCAGATTTTCGTGTCATTGGACTATATACATATCTTTTTCTACGTTCTCGTATACTTTGTATAAATCGAATATTTTGTAATCGATTCTTGGTATTTTTACGGAAATTGTCCAAATTAATTGTATAATTGCTTAATAATGTATGCTGCTGTCCCTAATAATAAAATTATAAAGTAATAGTAAAAATCTTTTTATTATATCAATAAATCATTTTAACATTGATGCAGTTAAGTACTTGATTGAGTTTAAATATGATAAAACTACATATTATTATTTGTAAAGGTTCAGATATTAATGCATTTTGTAGAACGGTTATTAGTAATGCCATTAACCAATGTAAACTTTTCACTTGTCCTAATTTCAGCCCGAAGGTAATAATTAAAACAGTCGATAAACCATAGATAAGTAAACATAATGTCCTGCGTGAAAATTTTGTTGTATTAACAATTCACGTTTATTAATTGTGCATAAAAATTAACATAAAATAGTACCATCCAGCTAAAAACCAATAATTTATTCCAGTGTTTTGATTACTTTTTTCTTTCATCTGAGCAGGCAAATAAATGACTTTTTTCGGAACAATTTTAGTTAATAATTTTCTCCACCAAGGTTCTAAAATAAAATCAATATATAATTAAAGAGTGTACCTATGTATTGATTGTATCGTATATTACTATTTGACAATTTCTGGTGTATAATATTATTTTTGAATCAATAACTAAACATGGAATATATTTTAAATTTTAATTTATTAAACCTGTTTGGTTTGGGCTCAATATATTTAAATGTTAAAAAAAGGCACGTAAAAAAACGTTATTATAAAACACAATAATTAATGGTAATACTATCGTAAACTAAAGGCATTAAGGTATACAGTTAATTACTATGAATATACGGGTGTGATAATCGATTGATAAATTAATGTATAAGGTATCTACTTTAATTGGGATAAGTTACATGATTTGGTTAGGTTAGATTTGCTGTAATACGATTGAGCCCGTTTTGCCTTTTTACATGGAAAAAACGTAACACGATTATGTTCCATGAAATATAGCTGTTCTTTTAATAATTTTCCAATACACAATTTAAAATATAAATACATGGAATAATAAACTTGTATTTTCTCAATATGTATGAAGTAAAGAAATAAAATTTTCAAAACTGATATCCTATAAGCTACAATAATAATAATTGAAATAGTACCTAGTACATAAATAAGCGTATGTAGTTTTTTATATACCTATCAATAATTTTAAATAGTGTAGTGTGTGTACTAATGTCAGAATATGAAACAATTTTCAAGAAGTCTAAAAATTAACTTTTGTTTTTAATTCTAAGCTTGATTAATTGGTAAAAGAAAGATTGTTAAAAAGGTCAACAGCAACTATAATTCATGGAGTGCAATCGAGTTATGCTTTTTGTAAGTAAATAGGTAAAACGGGGTCAGTCATGTTGCAGAGAAGTTTTATGACTACACAGGACATAACAGGTAAACCATATATATATATATATACACGAGTATATATATATTACTCTGTAAGTTCTTACTTATTATGCAGGTATAAAAATAAAAATAAAAATTAGAAATGTTAATTATTGTTTTTTGCATGATACATTAGTACATTGCACGGTATATACATTTTGATTAGTATATTATTATTCTTTTTAAATTTAAAACTAAAAATATTCGAGTATTTATTAAAGTAAAAATTTAAAGAATGATTTGCGATTATACTGATTACTTATCTAAATTCTAAGCGGATTTTAATAAACAAAAACAATTCTTATATTCTTAAAAATATGAAAGTACGATTATGGAAATGCTTTCAGATATTACTTCATAAAATAAAATTTTAGATTCTTAGCTGAGCGAGGAATGTATTAGTTTAACAAAAGTATGCTGACCTTATGTAATGGATCTGAAATTCAAAAAATTTACTTCAATATTTAACATTGAGGTAATTGGTAATTTGGTGGGTCAACGATATCCAATATTTTTTATAATTACTAAGAAAGTAGGAAAAACTAACTCAAAACAGAAATAAATGTAATATATACTAATACAATAAAAGAAAAAAAATTTTGTTTTAGTTCAAAATAGAGTTAAAAATAATAACTAAGCATTTATAATTGAATTTTTTAGACATGACGTGTTATTTGCAAAATAACATAACATTTTCCTGGTTTTCAATTTTAACTTAGTGTGAAAGTAACATTATATAATTTTTAAACTTTTATAGTAACTTTCATAATATTTTTATACTATGTCCTGTGTAGAAATTTATTATAGTTCATTTAGTTGATTTATTATTATACGTTTTAATATACTTTTTATTTTAAAATCCATTTTCACTTCTTGAACAGTAACATATTTTTCGATGCGAGAGCCTTTACTAAAAATATATTTAAAATTATTTTTATCATTAAATTTCAATTTCAGTAAATATTTTAGATATAAATTAAAGTAAAATTATAAATTATAATTTATTATCATTTAAATAGTACTAACACTGATATATGATACAGTCATTCTGGATTTTAATTATCCGAGCTTGAAAAAAAAAGTAAATTAATTTATAAATAATTGTAATTATGTAAGTACTATTAAAAAATGATTTAATATAAAATTTACAGTTCTAGAAGTATTTACTTAAAACAATAAGTAGTGGTAAACGTCATTAATAAGTGTATTAAACTGCTTTGTATAGAAATATAAATTTGAGTAAGTGTTATTTCAAATTTCAAAAAAATGTTCTTCATCATCTGTATATACATTAAAGTTATTTTATTAAAAAATATTTTCTTGTTATTTAGTTTGTTTCTTCATTATTTCGACTTACCGTCTACTAAATCATAAAATAATAAACTTATTACCATCGAACTAAATAATAAACATATTATTCTGCTCAATTTTTGACATCGCGTTATTAAAGATCTTGGATGACTAAAAATAATAAGAGAAAATTTTATTTTATTAGTTTTATTAAGTTTGAATTAGTTATTTATAAACCACTATTTAGTTGAATAAAAATTAAAGATATTAATTTAATAGATTTGATATTTTAGTTGCTAAATTATTATTAATTATTATTGGTTTGATTACGTGTTTTATTAAAAATACTTATATATAATATTAATGGGATTTTAAACGGTTAGTTATTTCAACCAAAATGTATCATTGATCTGTTTAATTTTTCAAAATCTGTTCTTTAATTCCCATAAATTTGGTTTGAATATTATTTAAAATGATGATAATTTAGAATTGAAATTCATAATCTTAAAATGTGGAATAGTCGATCGCAAGTAGCCGTATTATAAAATTGTCAGTTTTCAAATGTCTTATTGAATAATTAGATCTATCGATAGGGCTGACAAAGAGTAAAAAAAAAAGTTTAAAAAGGTACAAAATATAAGTAAGCACATTTTAGTTTTTATTGGTCACGCATGTGATGCCGTAGTGGTAACTATTTAACCCGCCACGGGAGTAGTTCGCTGTTGCCTATTATATTTATATATAGTGCACACATTATGATCATCAGGATTGAAATTATATAACATATAAAATTAAATAAATATGTACTATATTATCTTAAACATCGTTAAATATATATGCCAAAAAAAAAAAAAAAAAAAAAAAAAAAAAAAAAATTAATTATAATTAATTAACATTTAACACTTAACAAAAGTTTGAAATTAGAATTTATGAAATGATGAATGCTGCTAACCTGCTTAATCGGTCTATATTTAAAATATTATATCTATAATCTATAACTATTTTGAAAATTAAATTGACAATAATCTAAAAACATATTGATTAAAATGTTATTTCATGAAATATTACAATTTTGATTAAAAAGAAGTATAGAATTGTAAAGAATGCTATAAATTACCAATCCTAATGATAAATACTTTCTCATTTACTTATATGACCTACACGAAGTATTAATTATATTTTTATTATTATAAGTGTTTATACATACATATATGTTTATATAGTGTATACATTTATTACTACTTTTAGTTAAACTTTAATTTTTAATAAGAATGAAGAATAATCTGGGTATAATATTAATTAGTATACCATGATCGTTTTAATATCTGTTTATTATTAATTATTATAGTTGTTACCGTATAAATACACTTGCCCATAGATATTCTTCACGTATAGTTAATTCGACATCATCTATTGCTTTTGTTTGCCAGTCATTAGTTGTTCCTTTGATAATAAAGTGCTCAATATTTTCAATAGAGTTTAAAATCGTAAACCATCTTTCCACATTAAAATTCCACTTTTTCTTTTTTCGTACAACAGTAACTTCAATACGTTTACAATACCAACTAGGACTTTTTCCATAATTATCATGCCATATATGAATAGATTCGATTTCCCCAAGACTTTTTGGTGTAAAAATGATGAACCAATCGTCATTGAAACGCTGTAAAACGTCACAGTTTGAATTGTATAACCAATGTACCTAAAATGATTGAAAATAAAGTATTAATATGGATTATCGTAAAAAAAAAAGTACACTCGATTTACTCTACTACTGCTAATATTCCCGTGCAATTGAAGGCATACATTAGCCGTAGTTCCAGCATCAGCAGAGTGTCCCGTGTAAACCGTCACTAAATAAACTTCATCTTCTCCTGGATAGTTATCATGGAGAATCACAATTTCACCCTAAAATTTGTTGGATTTTAGGAATTTGAATTTAATAATGAATTTTAAAACCTAAATTTTACCCTCGATACATCTTTTCTATCTTGGTATTTTGACCAGATGAGTAACGTTGAATATATTAAAAATATTATTAAAACTGTGATTAAACAAACCATATTGTTTATTATAGAATCAGCATGATTAATGCCTGTTATTGTATCTACTACGTTAGGTAAAGTATAAAATAAACTACTAAACAACGACGAATGGTTAGTTTGACAGTGGATATTATTTTCTGTAGTGTTTGAGCCAACCTACACAACATAAATAATTATAATTCGACCATAGTACCTATTATTATAATATATTACGATTATTCCGTCTGGTGCCCATTTTATTCCAGTCCAATATAAGCACTGTGGACTAAACATGATCATTGAAAAGTTAGCGTAAATTACATTACTCCGTGTCGTTTGTTCAGTCTAAAATCAATAAAATCAATTTTTGTCATACAGTTCTTGAACATGTAAATCATTGAAAATACTGTATTACATATTAGTTATTACTTATTACATATATAATAATGCATGGGAGTATTTATTTTCAAGATAAAAATTTTACTGTGATAGCTGATACGCCAATGTAATGAATTTTGTTTTGATGCCGATTTAATGTTTTTAATGTGAATTCATTGTTTTTACCAGCTTTTAACTTAACTACATATTTTGAATTTTTCATTAATTTAATGTCTGGTCTTTTATCTCTTAACCACGCAAACTATTTATAAGATATATAGATATAATACAAATAATTAAATAAATTAGAGATCCAATACGTTTTTGTATATTTATGTTTTTCTTCATTTAAATAACTTACACGTAAGTCATGTGTTGAATCACTTAATGTAACAAATAATTCCCTAATATTTTTCATATCTATTCTGTACACCAAAATTTTTCTATCAGATTTAATGCTATTACTATTTTGCGTCAAAACCTGAACTGAATAATTTTGTTTCTGTCTCTCTGTAGTAGTTTTGTTTTTTCTGAAGTTTAAATTAATATAATTGTCAAAACGTTTGTATGTGATCACATTTTTTGAATTCGATTGATCAAAATTTAATAAATCTAATGACACAATTGGCATAACTATCTGAATTCCATCTATTTCATGAAATGTTTCCATTAAATTTTTTTCAATACGAAAAATCTAAACTTGTTAAATTAATATTTAAAATTTTTAAAAATAATGAATTTTATTTTAATGAATATTTTACTGTTATTCCCGCGTTTCCTCCTTTCAGTAGTAGTTCATCTGCTAATGATTCGTCAATAAAATCATACAAAAATGACTTCGATTCCGATTGAGATGACCTGTTTTTGAACCATCCCGGTAATAAAACCTGTCAAATAAAATATTTGGTTGATATTTACGTTATATTCAATTTATATATGCTAGTATACACATGATCTGAAATCGTTATCCATACAAGTAATTTTTCTATTGTAAGACTCTATGTTGAGTATGATTGATTTTCCAAATGATTTTATAAGATTGTCAATCTTTTGTGTAATTTTATTCCACTAACAGGGTATAAAAACGTATGCATTAATATAATGTATAAAGCATATTATATTATTATTTTACAAAAACTAAGTAATTTTACATTAAACCATTACATTTTCAAACGATGACCAAAGATAACGCTCAGAATCATCTGAATTTATATTATTGTATGTTATATTATTAATGATCAAAATTATATTCTCCCGAAGTTTTCTATCATTAAAATAAAAATAATAAATTTCAATGATGATTAGTCAGTAATTATCTTATTTTACAAGATCTATTAAAAATTTACTTTTTTATTTCTTCTATTTTGTTTATTTCTATCATTCTACTATTCTCATTAGACGATTTTATATATTCAAGTAGTGCTGTAGAAATTCTGAGCAATTGTTTTGCTATTTTTACAAGTTCAGTTATTTTCATTGTATCTTTATGAATTGAATAATAATCCTCAATAACTTTTTGTAGAATTAATACAAATTGATCAATACAGAAAATATTTTGAGAAATACAATTCAATAATGGAATCTAAAAATAATTAATTAAATTTACAATACCTATGCGATTAATTAAAATATAAAATAATAATTACACGACATATAATATATTATATATTTATGTATCGGTTCATATTATACCACGAATTAGAAATATTAGTTTTTTAAATATACCACGATATTTATAAAGTATGTATTTACTATATTATTTGAAGATATGGAAAGTTTTAGTTTGACTTTAATAATATTTATATTTATTAAAAGTAAAAAAAAAAAAAAAAAATGGTTTAATTAATTTATAATCTAATACAAACTAAATATATAATTCAAGATAATTTTAAATATAAGTTGCTAAAGATTTAAAAAAATTTGTTTGATTTTTGGGCTTTAATTAAAATTTTAAAATTGTTTAAGATTATAAATTTGTTAATAATAAACTTTAATATTTTTTGTTAAATATTAATTGGAATTATTTAAAAAGTCAAATATTTTAAAACGATATGAAGTATATACAAAGGTACTTTTGGACAAATATTTTTAAGTTTTAAAGTAACATTTTTTATGTATTACGTTTTATATTTTTGTAGAAAATTATTTAGACGAATACCTAAAACTACTTAATTACATAGTGTTATAGTTATATTAACTGTAACGCATTATTTTAGTCCTGGTTTTTCTGTTATTTATTTCAAATATGTTGTTATATACACATCTCCATTAGATAGGTTCTCACATTTTATAAAATTAATTAAAAAAAAAAAAATTAATTTACATTATACTTTTATTTATAAATTATATTTTAATTTAGAAGAACGTAACCTAACTTAATTTAGCTTAACCTTTAAGAGTTCTAAAGATAACTTCAAGTGATATCTTTGAATTTAAATTTTATTTTTTGGATAACTAATATTTAATGTATTAATATATTAAATATTTTGAAACCAAACAACTTTGTTTTAAGTTTTTGTAAGTTAAATATTTAATTAGAACATAAATATGAATATTAAATATTATTTTATTTTTATTTTTTTTTCGAATTTTACCTTATTTAATGCTTTGAATAAATATTTAAATTCATTAATATGGTTATCATGAAGTACATCACTCAAAATTGATATTATTGATACTGCTTCTAAAATAATAATAAAGAAAAACAAATTATTATCAATTACATTGATTTAACTTATCTGGTCAAAATAACTTTTTTTAATAAAATTTGATGGTTCTTTTCTATTAACAGAAAAATTGTTTTTGATTCGCGTATTTTAGGTATTTATTGCATATTGTTTGTGTACAGCTCAAATAAAACTTACTAACTTTTATTTCTTTAAATTATTTATTATGTATTATAATCTGCAGATGATATTGTATCAAGTATTTATTTGAATATTTTTATTTATGCGATTATAAGTAGGTACCTACTATATACAAAATAGTATGTAACATATTTTAACCAACATCAAAAATGAATTTTTTAATTTTGTTAATTTTATTATTTAAAATTATTATATATTGGTATAATGATTGAAATTTAAAAAAACCATTAAAATATTTATATATTAGTCTATTTAATTTTATTTGGTTGACATATAAAATAAGGAATTAATAATTTTAAGTACAAAATGTATATCATTATTTTACGATTTTTAATAATATATATTAATTGGTTTAAAAAATGAATGTTATGACTGAAAAAATAAATAGATTGATCTTCAAAAAAGAAATTATGTTAATAAAAAAATGTGATTTTTGACAAATTTCTTAATTTAATTAAAATAATTTTACTGTAACAATACTTGAAATGTCTTTATTCTTTAAGTGCATAGTTAGTTCTTTATACAATTTATTCAATAAACGCGTATTACATTCTGATACCTAAACATAATGAATTTTCATTACAAAAATATCTAAATAAATTAAACTCAAAAATATTATTTACGTTCACACTTAAATGTGTTTGTGAATATGCTCCATATACATTTATTACTCTTACAATTAAGTCGTTAGACGAGGTTAATTTGAAATCAGTCATAGATCTATTTCCTCGATCTAACAATACTCCTGATTAAGAATTAAATTAATAATTAGTAATTTTGTTACAATAATGTAGATAATATTTATCATACTTTACCTCTACTTGCTTCATAATTTTTATTTTTTTGATAGTATTCAAAAATATTTTTCTTGCTTAAATGTATGCATGATATAGAAAATAATGTTTCCCCTGCTAAACCAAATGATGGTTGTATTGTACAATTTCCTATTTTTGGTTTTGAAACAGTTGTTATGGATAGATTATTCATCAATGTATATGTTGGATCTAATAATGTATGATAACAATGTGTTTTTTTAATTACAAAAATAATTTCTATGTATGTATTAACTATAAACTAGGTATTTCGATAAAATTAAAACAAAATAAATTTCATTGGAAATATTATAAACATTTTTAATAATTAAATTATAAGAAGTTAATTGATTTTATAATACCGTTACAAACTTACATTTAACAATAAAGGTGTACATTGTTCCATATTCTAATTTATTTCTTTTTATTATAAGCATATGGTTTGGCACATCAGTTAATGCCATATTCTTCACTGGTTTTATATTAATACTATTAAATTGGTAGTACCATTCAAATTTGTGTCCTATGAAATTAATTTTTGCTTCCAAATGTAAATTATTTGACGGATTTGATAACGGCATGCAATTTTTAATACATCTAAAATTGATCGTTGAATTATACATTTTTAAAATACGGGATTATCAAATAGCAGATAATTTAAATGTATATTAAATTTCATTAATTAGAATATTATATCAGCTAATTTACCGATTTATTCATGTGAAAATTTTAAAATTTATTATATTTATTTATTTATAAAAAAAACTTTTAAACTATAAATGTCAAAAAAATAAAGTTCTTAATAGTAGTTAATTTTTATATTAGTACGATACACGTTGAACTAATTTTTTCAAAAAAATTGCATTTACTAGCAGAACCTACACGATATTTTTTATTACAATTTAATAATGCTTGTAGATTTATCCCGTCTTAAACTCCGTTAAGAGATAACAGATTTTTAATACAGTTATTTGGGTGGTTT